GCCAGGGCAAGTGACTCCCCCACCATTATAGGGCACATTGTTCAGAAGGCCACAATGAAGCTGGTTAACAGCTCTTGGCAGAGATTTTTTTTTTTTTTTTTTTCGTAAAAATGCAGAATTAAGCAGATTTAGTCAATCTGCAAATTACTCCTTTTTTCAAATGCAAACAGAAAAAACCTGCCAAACATACAGCCTGGATGTTTTATTTTGACAATTTCAGATGAAACATTTTGATTTTCTTATGTGAAAAAAAAAAAATAGCATTCTTGATTTTGCTTCCAATTAATTTTCTCTATTCCAAGAGACCAAAACTATTTGTCCCATCCTAAGTATTGATTACTTCTTTAACTTCCTGTCTTGGTAGAGAAAAAGGTTTAAATGATTGTTTATGGGTGGCCAAGCGGAATTTCTTTTCTTCCCCACCCTCCACACAGATTTTCCAGTTCAGTCAAAGAACCAGCTCTCTGTAGGAAGCCTAGTCCAGATTTTATTTTTAAGGTCCTAGGACCAAAGAGCAAAAACATGAAGGTGTGAGCAGGATGGACTTTGTTCACTTATTTGCACGGTGTGCACATGAGACAGAGAGCAAGCAGCCTTGCTGTCTCCTCCTTCCCTTTTACAGGGAAACTTCACTGGGAGACCACATGGCCGTTCTGATGCCAGCAAGTTCCCTGCAGATGGAGAGAGCAAATAAAAATGTGCATATTTACATTATACATGCAGATTAGATAGTGTGCATTCCTCACAGCTTGTCCCTGAAACACCCTCCAAAAGGAGCGTGGGGGAGAATGCAAAGAAGTTGCGTCCAACTCTGTTCTCTCATTGTCTCCCTCCCACACTCTTGCTCTCAAACATGTACCCCTGGACAATTAACCCTTTACAATTCCCTGCATCACGGACAGAACTGCCGATGCCTGGCAACCTCTATGTTAGAGCAAAAGTGGAAATAGTTTCTCATAAAGGATTGTTAAATTCAGCCAGCAGAAATAGCTGCGAGAGGGCAGTGGTAATGATGAGGGAATTAATTATTGCATTACCTAAACTTTGCATTATCTGGCAAAAGAAGAGAGTGGGTGTGTGGGTGCATGTAAGGGGTTACCCTGGAACGGAGACAGAGCATTGAACTGGGGAGCTGAAACACTTTTGTATTTACCCTCCTGAGCCCAATGGTTGCTCACGTCCCTTCCCATGGAAGTCCTGCTGTGAGCTCAGTGCAGGGAAAAGTGGGTTACTGGGGGGAGCAAGGAGCTGGCCAGCAATGGGACACCCAATGTCTGCTCCTGAGGAAGGTCAGATGGAGCTTCTTTGAAGGCAGGAGTGTAGGAAAAAGAGCAGTATCACCACAGCTCTCCCCATACTGTGCTGGATGACTTTTAGACCCCAAAGCTCTTGTCTCCTGCTGGGCCAGGTCCTGGATACCTGCCCATGGACGGGGCTCCTCAACCCCATTTGCAGTGGAATTGCCAAGTGAAACCATCAACTTGCTCCATGCCACCCTTTCTTAAAAGACCTGGAGTTTGGCCTTCTGCATAGCTAGGCCCCTGCACCTACTGCAAAAATCTGCAAGGAAGAGGGTTGGGATTATCCTTCACTGCCCAACTCAGGGCAGCAAGAGCCTCTGGGCAATCAGAGATCATCACTTGGGCTACGAGGAATCACCCTGTTAGGCATACATGCTCCTGCATTCATCTGTATCTTCTCTCTCATGCTGTAGCACTCATGTTTGCCCTTCCAAATGAGGTTCCTCAGGGCATTTACTCTTCAGCGAGTAACACGCTCGCTCACACATGCTCCCCTCGCCCTCCCACGCAGCTCAGCATTGCAGCTCTCTCCTGGTAAGTTACGCCCCATTTCTCTCCAGGAAATCCTTGCCCGGCTCTGCCAGCTGCCACCTCGCTGACAGATGTTCTGCTCAGGCACACTCTATCATTTTTACATAGTGGCAGCCTGGTTAAATATTTCACAGCTCGCCCCGAACTTTTAGTGCTCCCGGTCAGGGGGAACAGTGCAGCCAGGTCCAGCTGGGGTCACACATGACTTAGGGGCACTGACCTCTGATCTCCTCCTGGTCTTCCTCACAGGTTGGTCACAACACTGTGCTTGGAAAGAAGGTTTCTTTTGAAATAAGGTCAACTCCAGCCTTTTGAGGTACAAGGAAAACTTGCCTGCACGGTACCAGCTGCAGTAAAAAGCTTGGCTGAATATAAGACATGGAGGAATGAGAGATTCATGGCATCTTCTAGGCAGAAGAATAAATTAGACTTTTTGATATATTTTTAAAGATGCAGTTTGGCAATTTATATCCATGAAATGTAAACGCCTCTGACTTTTGCCATATAGAAAAAATCAACAGGAAAGCATGCGGTTATTAAGTACTGAAGGGTGGGATAGGTGTGGTGCATGGCAAAAAAATGACTGCTTGATTCTGGCTGGAGCAAAAAGGGTTGGGAGATTTCTTGGGATACTGCAGGTTTTAGGGATTATGAAAAGTGACTCTTCAGGTGCTGTGGTATAAGCAGCCATCTCAGCTCCTTCTTACAGGTTTTATAATGTTCATATTGCTGTGATAGCAATGGTATCAGAGTAAATGAAATATGACTTAAAATCATAATGTAACTAAAACAATTTCCTTGTTTCATGTTGCACATTTACAGTCTCCTCTTCAAAGGTCTTGCACATAACTATTTTATTTTGTTCTAAATTGGCTCTCACACTACTTTCACCAGCATTATAGCTGGGTGCTTCCAGTATTACACCAAGGAACGTGACTAACATCTCTTACAGGTTGTTTGTGACAGTCCTTTTTCAGGAAAGGTATTATGGACTGGACCAGGGTAGCTGCTTCTGACACTGATTAGCTCATGTGGCTGTGTGAGATTAAAACCATAGTTAAAGAAAAAAAAAAAAAAGCAGCCTGTTTAAGGTCCCAAATCAATCCCTAAACATATGTGCAAACTTAAAATTAGAAAATTGCTTTTGCATTTTTAAAGAACATCCAGCCCTCATTCACTTCGCATGCATAATATTGCCCATTCAGGGCCTCGGAGTCCTGTTTACATTAGTGTTTCATCAAATTTATTTTCAAGCATCATAATTCTTTGGTAGGTCAATCTCAACCCTGTTGTGCTCTTTTAAGATGTGGTGGACCAATTCCCAGAATGGCAAGCACAGAGTAAAACAATCAATCAGGCCATTGCTGTCCTGGAACATATGAAAATGTAATGATGACCCCAGATTTTACTGCAGAGAGGGAACACACGATGCATTGCATGAATGAGATTGACAGATCACCACATTTATAGCATCTTCAATGCAGATCTGGAGTAATTTTGTTTAAAATTGGAAGAAAATAGTAAAGTCAATGTGGCACAAAGTAGCACGCAAGTGTTGTGAATAAAAGCTTCAAAGGGTACTAAAGTGCCATTGATTACCTTTGAGAGGATCTTTAACATCTCAAGTCCAAGATAAAGAATTTACACATACACTGTAATGTTAAACCATCATCTCTATATTTCCAGTAATCACTTCTGCAGTAGATGAATCCAGGCATTAGTATCCTGTCAGGATTTTCTAACTAAAGGTACACAAGGAAATCACAAAAATTTAGATTCCAGTTAAGTTCAACAGTATTATGCCCTTAAAAAAACCTCCAGTGGTCAATTCTGCTCTGTCAGCTAGGATATTAAGAGAGATTAGTATGCCTGTTCTTAATGATGGCTTAATATCTTGCATATCTGGAAAACCAAGCAGAATTCAAAGGTGGCAATAAGATGCCTCATCACCTTTCTCTATATTTTTATCGTGCCTCATACCATCGCTTGTTTTATAGAAACAGAATCTAATAAACTAAGATCATATACTTTTGGGGAGAGGAGAGGAGGAGAAAATTACACGTTTGGTTGATAATGATAACAAGATTGCTGTATGAAGCATTTGAATAGATACTGACTGTCATTTTGAGGAGGAATTTAGAACAAAGCAGGATAAGCGTGGCATGGGTGAAGTGGATTTAAAGCTGACGGAGTGCAAAACAGAGAAGGGGAATGAAAAGGGAAATCATTTGGAGTGTTTCCTTGTGTGGCCTCCAAGGACCCCTAGCTTTCCAGGAAAGCAGTGACCTCTAGAAATACACGTCCATGGGTGATTTCAGTGTGGAGATGCATTTGCTTTCCTCTAAGGCAATGGGTCAAAGACAAGGAGAAGGAAGAGGAGGAAGAAAGAGCATAATTATATGGGCAGCTATCCATGGCAGAACACTGCTGGTCTTCACAGTTCAAGAAAGCTGTCAGGAAATCAAAGGTGCTTCAGAAAAAAAAAGCCACAGTAATTGCTCCTAAGATAGGAAATAACACCTTTGACTCTGAGACCTCCTCTCAGGTATCTTACCAAGGATAAGCTGATGGGCTGACTTGGTCGTGGTTTGGAAATTCTTACTTGGGGAATAAATACATGGCAATAAGCTTCTCAGTCTGTCAGACAAAAGCAGCGAATTACAGTGCAAATTACAAATTAAGAGCAGGACTAATTTGTCTTAGGATGTGCACAAATTTTCAAGTAAGAGTGATTAAGTCCTGGAGCCATTTTGCAAAAACTGTAGTGGATTCACAGTCATTTGGGGTTATTACATCAAGATCTGATGAACTTTTACAATATTTTTTTTTTTTTTGGAATAATTGATTCATGGTAATTTGTGTAATGCAGAAACCAAACTGAATGGTCACACTGATATCTTCTGGCTTTGTGGCCTGCGAACTTGAGGAGAGGAATTTTTCTGATTCACTCCTCCAAGGAGGGAATGATATTCATTTTACAGGAGAGGATGGAGATCCTGAAAGATTGAATGCCTTGCCCAGTGGAGTCCATCACTGCTTCTCTCACCCTTCTTCATTACCACCTTTTTCATTGTTTTGACCCCTGAGTAATTTTTTTTTTATATATATATATATTTTGGACTTGTTTTAAGCCTGCTGAGTGATGGTGTTCCCTGCTTTGCTTTTCAGGGAGGTGGCTTACGAGGAAATGACAGCAAGGCATGTTCTGGGAGCACAGCCTTCTGCGTACAAGACACCTGTGAGCATGCGTAGGAGCAGACCACCTTCTGAAAATGAAGCCAGGGAGCAGACTGTGTTTGCAGAGACCTCCCAACAGGACAGCCTGGAAATGTCAGAGCTCCTTTCCCTTGCAGCCTGTTCTTGGGGAGCACAGGAAGAAGCTCCGCCAGGCCCCAGGCTGCTGTAAGGAGGGTGCTGTCATGCGGGAAATCTTGGCAGAAGCCTTCCTTCACTGAACCCTCTCCCAGCACCACACAACCAGCCCAGCCAAGTGAGTGACAGCCACTAACAGGCCATCTCCAGCCTGGCCCAGGTCCGACTCGCTGCGTGAGCCAATGCTCGCTGTCACTGTGCTGCATTACCTAGGCAGAGCCAGACAGGTGGCATTGGCAAGAAACCAAGGAAGAAAAACACTTCATTCCCGGGGAGCGATCTTCCATCTGAGATGGCACGTGATGCAAGGTGCAGCGTGTGTTGGCCGTGAGATGAGATGTGCCTTATAACAGTTTCCAAAGTTCTGGAACTAGCTCAGACTTGAAATCCAGAGAAATTTGGTTAATTTGTTCTGTTTTGTCTGAGTAGCACTATTTTTTTCTCTGTGTGTCTTTCGGCTTCATCTCCTGTTGGGAGTGCTGAAATTCCGTCACAAAAGCTGCATCATCACTTGGCTTTTTATTATAGATTTTCAGCACTACATGACTGCTAGTGCATCTCCAGCCATGCTGGAAATGGGAAGAAACAACCAACAGCTCTTTAGATAATGCAAAAAGACCATGCCTTCCTGCTAACAGCCAGCTGTGCCTGCATTTCCCCTCTCCTCCAGCAAGATACTGATGCTGCTGCAAGACAAGAGATTAACTGGAGGTCCCCTTTAACTTCAGGAAGACTATTTGCAATGAGAGATATTTTTCAGAGTGAGCAAACGACAGGACTATGGTGGGAGGGAGAGAGTTCCCTTGAGGGGTCCCTAATACCCCTCCGTGCATTTACCAGTCCTCAGTAATCTCTCCTCTGCAGGCCTGTCCTACCCAACCCTGCTTAGCTGGTAATTGCTGAAGGAATCAAAACACAAGGTATGGCAGCTGCAGGCATCCAGTGGAAAAAAAAAAATCTCCACATGCACATGCACAAGTGTAAAAGAGAGACAGAAGGAGAGAAAGCACATTAAAGGAAAGACAACATTTGCAGCAGGCTGGTGTGTCCTTGACCGAAGGAGACATCAAAGACAGCTTCAGTGATTTACTCTTTGACAGGCTGGCATCTCTGTGATTCACGGAGCTAATCAATTAGGTGATACATTCCCCCTCCCCACCGCCCCTTTATTTTTAACAGCTTCTTGCCAAGAGTAGAAATGCTCCAGAACTGAACGGGGACCGGTGTCCTGACCGTGCTGCAGGAGCTGACAGGCACCAGCCCAGCGGGTCTGAAAGGGGATCAGGACACTGCCAAAGGGGATTTTCCACGGGGGGCAGGGGCAGTTTAGCCCCTTTTGGAAGTGGATGCCACATTTTCCTGGGTCATATGACACAGATGATGTTGCAGAGTTTCACAGCCCCTCCATTTATTTGGATATATGTCTGCCATCCCTGCTTCCCCAGTTCTGTGCCACATGAAGGCTTTAAAAGCCTTCCAGCACTTGAGTCCTTCAGCCATACATAAACAGAGCCTTGCCCTTCAGATTTCTCAGATTGTTGGCTGTCCTATTGCAAAATGAGAGACAGTCACAGCCAAGCTCTTCTTAGTGAGAAGAAAGTCCTGGGAGGCACAGAGGCTGGGAAATGCACCACAACAGGCTTGTGGGACTGAGCACTGCAGCTGGCCAGGTACTGCAGAAAGCAGCCTGCATTTAACGCTTGTGTTTCCCCTCCTAATGAGAAGCTGCAGAAATCTGGCTGCAATATGGTACAGTCAGGGGGATGGGAGAAGTTGTTGGGGTTCAAGGAATAAGCCCCCCAGTTGGGATGCTCTGAAGCCCATGGTTATCCCAAAATGGAAACCTTTTCAGGGACACACATGGGGACAAAACCAGCCAGGGTGTGAGTGAACAAGTGAGTGGTGGGATGCTGAGCCAGCCATATCAGCACTTGCAGTGTTTAAAATTTCATTGAAGATAATATCAGAAATCTCTATCCTTTGTGCTTGCAAGCCTTCTCTTCTGAACATGGCCACTGTAGTGCTTCCCACATGAATATGCAGCAGGAATGAGTCTGAGCAGGCACAAATCACAAGGAGAAAGCAATAGCACTGCTTTGATGTAAATCCAGATTCAGGAACAAGGCCCAGTTGCCCTTGAAAGAATGGGGATTTTTCCCAACTTGTCTCACGAGCTGTCCAGGTGCTTGATGAAAGCTATTTCAGGGTAAGTCTTGGTGAATTTTTCACTACTGATCTTTCTAGAAGTAGTAGGATGCTAACAAGGAAGAGAGGGCAGTATTGTGCACTGGAGAGCAACATCTGGTGGAGATTTGTTGGAGAATTCGGGAATTCACACAGGTGTTAGTCCTGCTTCTTAACATCACAAGACATAACAGTTGCATGGCAATGAAAGCCTCTCCTCTGGGTTCAGACTGAAGATTCCTCTTATGTCTCACTTTGTCACATTGGGAACAGAGGATGCAGGCAAAAACCTGACAGTCTTACCCCATGCTCCCCCTCATCGCACAGACTGCCCCAAGGAGGTTGGGGCACACCAGCTGAGCTCTTGCTCCTGCCTCCCTAGAAGAGTCCCCTGTGCAAACAGAGACATTGTTGAATATTCTCTGATTTGCTCTGGATGAAATCTCTCATCAGATCCCGCTGCTCTTCACGGCAAAATACCCGCAGGCAACAGAGTCCAATTTTTACCCGTTCAGCTTCAGGCATAAATTTGCTGTTTTCAAAGTGGAAACAGGATCAGATGGCAGAGAGAAGGGGAGAAAAAAAAAAAAAAAAGTCCTTCACCAGCTGTGAAAACTGCCCTTTTAATTTTCATGAAAAGATAGAAAGAAATGTTCTGCTGGTTGTTTCATCCCTCATTGGTGTAATCGACAGAGAGCATTTCCTCTCACCCATCAACTCTAAGGTGTCATTAGCTGCTGGATCCGTTTTTGGCTTCCCTCCTTTTCCCTCGGTGAATTACCTCCTTCGAGATATCACCTCTTAAATTCACGTTCAATTTTGGGGGGCAGGTTTTATCTGTTCTGCCTGTGAGAGGAAAACGGTTTGTTCCTCTTGTCCTACCCAGCTTTCTCTGTTGTGGTAAATCCTCTACCTGTTCCTGTTACTCCACTTTGAGGTCTCCCTTCAGATGTTAGTCGTTCTGTTTTACATCTAAACCATACCTCATTAAAACTGTGCATCAGTCCAGATTCCTGCTCATTACAACAGGCAGAAAGCTCAGCTTATGGGAATGCAGTTATAATGAGGGCAAAGAGTATGGCTCAAAAACAACTTCTAATAGCTCATTAGCAAAAAAAAAAAAAAAAGACTAGTCAGACACCGCTGTAGTTTCCTTGTTCCTTCTAAAGATCTGAGAGCCATCCCCTTCCCAGCCCATGAAGGTTAGCAACATTTAGTCTTCAAAATCAAGGCGAAGCTGTCTTCTGTGCTGAGGACTATCTCACAGCCTTAGAACTGTCCTGGACTCCCGTGTCCTGTGATAATACCTGCAGATTTCCTGAGTCACTTAACGTGGTTGCTCGGTGCTCATTTGTCACCTCCTCTACACCTGCTACATCTGGGAAGCGGCGAGGGGAGCCAGCACTGCACACTGGCAGCCCAGCTGCTGATGCTCCCTGCTCCCCTAGCTCGGTGTGGATCCCATCCTGCCTGATGCTGTCTCCCTGATATCCTGCTTCTTCTCACTCGTGGTTGTTGGTTTGGGATGTCAGCCTGACCCCGATTCAGACAACAGGTAAAATTCCAAATATCTGCCTGAGTCCTGGCAGTGGGATTCTAGTCCAGGCTGGTGATGTATGGCACACAGAGAGTTTTGCTTTCTGTGTGTGTGAAAAGAGAGAAATAGAAAGAAGCCACCAGTCTGGCAAATAAGTTTTAAAAGAGTCCACATTGACTCTGGTTTTCTTCCCCATCTAGGTAACATGCAGCAAGAGCAGCTATATACCTAGAAATATTATCAAGAGCTGCTCGTTCTCTGATCCATAGAGGAGCTAATGTCATTACCTAGGCTTTATTCTGCTCTTGCTCAAGCAAGGAGAGTAAACACTGTGTAAAAACTGTAAAAACTGAGCAGAGACCTTAGGATTTATGCACTCGTTACCTTGCAGGACCATCTCTCAGGATGAAGCAATTTACACAGTGAAATATCAGTGCACTAAAAAGCTTAGGAGGAGCTTCGACAAACTGGCAGCCCTGTTCATGTGTTCCGATTAGCTACTCACAGCACCTATCAGAGAAAAAGACTTCATCAGCGGTGGTATTTAATGCTCAACTTTTGTCTCCATTCAGCGCAGGCTGAAAATGTAATATTTTGACAGTCTCATGAGATGCTGCCTCCTCTTAAGGAAGAGCTGACACAGAGGAGGCCTCTTCTGAATGGGCGATGTCTGGCCTTCAAAGGACTGAAGAGTGATTATGCCACAACTAGGCAGTGCCCAAGCTTTGGGGACAGTGTGGCTGTCTTCATCTAGCAGGCTTGAATCCCATGCTGCAGCTGCAGGGCCAGGAGCGAGCTGCTTGCTTCGGCACCCTTCTTGTGGCTGAACGTGCTGCCCAGCTAGAGATAAGCAGGTATCAGCACCCCTGGAGGAATATGCTCCTCAGTCAGAAGGAGGAACACAACTATATTTGAAAGCGGTTTATTTTTAGCTCATCATTCATAATTTTGCTTGTGTACGTCACGGTGACTCACACTTTGTTCCTCCTTACTCGACCGTGTGCCTGCAGAGACAACAACATGTTTGCTTGTTTAATGCACGGTCTCTCTGTTTGAGGGCTTGTTGTTTCAGCGAGGTCTGGGAGCAGCAAGGGCTTCTTCTCAGACAAACACTTTCATGCTGTGAGAGTTTGTAGAACTGTCTTTTTTTTTTTTTTTTTTTTCCTGTAAGAAATGTGGTTTTAGTAAAATGCAGATGTGGTAAATGCATATGCACCGGTCACATCTGCCTGAAAAAGAAAAGGCCTCCAAACAGAAAAGGAGCTCTTAACACAGTGCAGAAGAGACCATCCTGTGCACCAAATCCTGTTCATCACATCACTGCCAACCCCCTAGCAGATGTTCAGTCCAGACAATTCCCCAGAACATCTGTGCCATATCCTCTACCTGCTGCAAACCACAAAACACCTCCCTGCAAGACCTCCTAATAAACTGCAGACCCTGCAAAGAAAACACAAAACCTTCGCAATGATAGTGTATTGCAGAGAGAAATGGCAGAGATCAAAGGCAAAGAAAGGAGCATAGAGTTCCTAATGGTTGCCTCGTGCTTTCTCCATGCACTGGTACTGACTTTTCCTAATGTAAAGCCGTGGCACTGGGCTAAAAACAACCCCCTTTTGTTACCCAGGAGCTCACGGCTCACCTAAGCCTTCTCCGATCCCTCCAGTGAGCCATTAGAGCACCAACTGTTGTGAGGTTGTTTTAGCAACAGTTTGAAAAGTGATTTTTTATGAGCTGTTTATTACCTTCTCAGATTTATTATGTTCCATTCAGACCGATTATGTGAAATAATAATAAAAAAAAAAACTCTAACAAAACATGACCTAAAAAAAAAAAAAATATGTTTCTGAAGAAAATATGGACCAGGGTTATTTTTCCTTTCTTCCTTCCCCTCCTCTCCCCAAACTTTTGGAATAAATGTCAGAATTAATTTAAGTCAACATTGCCAGAAGCAATCATTCGTCTTGAATATTTCAAACTTGGAGTAACTAAATGAAGGTTCCTGAGAATGAATGTAGTTGCAGGAGGAGATTTGTGAACCCATTTGTGAATCTAAGCTGATTTTCTGCTTCTTCCTATCTCAGAAACCTGTGTGTCTCTGGTTGGACATGTAAAAGAGGACATACCTTGTGGAGAAAGACATTTTCAAACTTTTAAACATTTTCAGGGAGTGATGGTGCTGATGGGGACCTCTTCACTGTCCAAACCCACATCACTGCCAGGGATTGCACCAAGCAGAGCCCATGGGCAGGATTTCCGGATCTCCAAGGATACAGGGCTGTGCAAATTAATGTTACAGAAGGCTGGTCAGAAGCATCACAGCTAGATGGGAAAGGGGAGTTCTTCTTCTGCCAACAGTACTAATCTCTGTGCTCGCACTTTGGATAAAAGATGGCCTGTTGACAAATTAATTTTTTTTTCCTATTTACCCTGTATTTTCCTTTAATGGTCCCAGCTGGAGATCAAAGTCACAAATTTTCAGCCGACTTCCAATTCGTGCTGTGCTTTGGAAGTGATTTTTCGGGGAAGTACATGTGCAAAGCAGGTAGCTGACCAGCCAGTCCCCAACACGGCTGCACCAGCTCTGCACATCTCTGTCCATCCTCAGCAACGAGGGAGGCCTCCCCTCCACTCAGTGCCAGGGGGAGCCCTGCTGCTGCCTGCAAGAAAGGCTCTGGGAATTGCAAGACCAGGCCCTGGGAAATCCAGCGAGACTGAAAGCTGGCCACCTGGCTGAATGTTTTAGCTTTCCCCTGACAGTTAATGAGATTAAAGCCCAGGAGGATTCCCTGGCAATTACAGCGGATGATGGGAATTTGGCTCCCACACAGCGATGAACAGGGCTCACACGAGCGGCATCCTGCAGGGAGGGGGTGGCGAGTCTTCGTGGGAGAAAATGTGTGCCCTGGCTGTGCGAGGCACCAACGTGTCCCTGGCACATCACTGCTGGTTGCTTTTTATGCTTCTTTTCTGGGCTGTCTGTTGACTGAAAAGGCTGCAGAGATCAAGCTCTCCTTCAGCCCTTAAAAATGGTTTCTCTCGGGTTGAGCTGTGGCATCAGGATAGAAATAAAGATCTCCAGTCTCCACAGTAATTAATACCCATCCATCAGCTTTAAGAATCACCTGTGTATAATAAATGCAAGAAGTTAAACATCTTGCTGCTGAGCCTCCGCTAGTTGTCATCTAGGCAAGACAATTTATGGCACCTTTCCCGAGCATCCTGTCAAGGGCTCATTCGTGTAGCTCCTCCAAAGGCCATACGCAGCCTTGAGAATATAAGAATTCAGAGATTTGCCCTGCTGCCTCGTTACCCTGCGTGATCATTTCTGATAAGTGTTCTTGTTTAATCATTTCCCTGAGTAGAGCCCAGGGTTCTCTTGTGTTTGTCTGTGTCATATTAATAAAGGTCCATTTGGGAGGATGCTGGGGGTGGAAATGATTTGACCGAGGTTAAGTAACAATTGTACAAAATTGTTTTGACATTATGTTAATGTCTGCTTGTGTATTATCCCCAATTTAAAGTTAATCACCAAAATTACCGTTGCAGTTCCCAAAATCTAATGAAATAAGATTTGTTGAGGTGTGAATAATACAGAAATTGAGAAGCACGCAGTCACTATAAAAAAAAAAAAGAAGGAAAAAAAAAACGAAATTAACTGCTAGCTTTAACTCTCTGAGTGCTCATATAAACTGAGGTGTGTTCACAAATTAAATCAGACCTTTACCACTTGAAATTGTGCTGGTGACAGAGCAGGGTCTGAACAAAGTGTCCTGCTCACGTGCCTGAGTGTGTGCACAGAGCCTGGCACAGCAGGGTCCCACCCCGTGTCTCAGCTCAGGGGCATGGCCAGACGTTTCATGTTAATAAATACGAATTGGTGCTGTAACGGTCAATGGGTTCAATCATGGCTTGGCTGTGCTAGGATGAACATAGCTGATCTGGGCAGATAAAGACAGACCACTGCTATCATGAAAAAGCATTAAAAAAAAAAAAGTCATTATCATAAATTCAAATCAAAATGTTATAGGTAAATGGTAGCAACAGGAACTGAAAAAGATGGAGGAGTCTGTTTGCATCTTCTGTTACGTCTGAATGAGTATGGGCAAAAGAAGGAGGAAGAAAGAGGAAGCATCAGTGCTGCATTGACACAAGAGCATGGTCCACAGCCCACTCTTAGCTGAATTTCAAAAATTAGCTAACTCCTTTCCTACACAGAAGCTTGATGCAGGAATAATTTAAAGCAAAGGATGTCACAGTATATGAAATTGCAAAGAGGATTTTAATATATGTCTCTGTAGAAACTGGAAAATGAAAAATAACTCTGCTTTTGAACCAGTGATTTAACCACAGGAAGAAAAAATACAGTAATTAGGTTTGGGGAAGGGTGTCCAAGCAGCACACCTACAGGCTGCCTGCTCTTAGATATTTGAGTAGGGTATAATGGGAAGGGTGGGAGAGCAGCTAGGCTGTGGGCTCAGCTGAGGGGGAATGAAGCTGGAGATGGCGCTGCCATCAAGGCTCTCCCTGCTCTCTACTTCATCTGTACCATTTTGGGCCCTGTAAGCATGTGCAGAAGGAAAGAAGCAAGCAATGTGTGGCTGTGGCAATGGTGCACAAAGCAAAATACATGGATCCAGCTGCACAAAGAGAAGAGAAAAAAGTGTGAAAAGAGCCCAAGAAAGGATGGAGGAGAAATCAAGCTCAGACAATTGCAGCAGTTTCCCTTCAGAGTTGCCACAGGCATAACTAAAAGTTGCAATGAGTTACTGAGCTAGTAATATATTCTTATGTCCAGAATGGAGTAGAAGAAAGACAAAAATGATGCAAGGTGCTTGTAGAATCCATTCTAAAAGCAGGTGTATACCACTTCACAATCCAAAGTGGCTAACTTACTGGGTGAGGCAGCAAGAATCACAGTTTTGATAGAAAATTCCAATTTTCACATGCAAAAGAAAACAGTCTGCATTTTTGTCTAGTTTTCCTGAGGCTGTGTGTACAAAGATATAGTCAGTGACAACCTGACCTGTCCCAGCACAGTAATTGCAGCCAGTTTTGTGGATAACAAGTACAATTTCAAGTGCAGAAACAAGCTTGAGAAAGGCTGAAAAACTGATCCTCCGTATGCCTTAAAGAGCTACAGAATAGCTGCATTGTTGGCTTTAATAAATTCCCCATGGATATTTCAGATCCTCTGCAAAGTGTTTCCACAAAATCCTGTCTCCAACTTCTTCACCTACCAATCTCTCTGAAATGACCCTTGTCCTTCCAGCCACTTTGGTGTTGGGACTTTTTCCGTGACACCCAAATGGAGACATTTTGATTCACAGAGGTGAAAATTAAAGATGCTTTTCTCTTTAAATTTTTACTGATTTTGTATGGCACAATGGAGCCAAATATCTATCAGGACAAAATCGATAGCAGAAATATGAGAAAATGCCCCAGGCAGAGTGTACTTCACGTGTGGCCTCTGTAAGTGTATTTCAGAAGGAAAAACAATATACTGAATTATTCCATGAGTTAATGCAGTAGGACAGCCACCTATGGTCACATCAACCTGTTTGCAGCCAGCCTGAATCATGGAAGCCAAATAGGCCCAGACTGGGTTAATACTGGGCTGGGAGTCCAAGAAGCAATTGCAGGTTCTGAAGGCAGAAGATGGGAAGTTGTGGCCACAAATGCAAAGCAAATATTAAACCACAGAACAACAAAATAATCGGAAAACAATAACAAAACAAAACAAAAAAAAATCACTTTTGGATCCCATTGCTGCTACCAATCTAGCAGTAGGCGAGGCTGAAAAGGAAAGAACCCCACAGTGATTAGCAGAGATTGTGTGTTAGCTAAGGGTCTGGGTGCAGCTCCATCAAAATAAAACCCAGAACTTTTTAGGAGACCTTCATCCAAACTTGGGCCACAAGTAGGCAGCAGGTGTAATCTAGTACATTTTTATTTAAACTCCCCTCATTTTCAGTGTCACACAAAAACTATCCCAGGACAACCAAGTGCATTCCATGAGCTGACAGTTATCTCCACTGGGCAGAGGTCTTCCAAACAAAATTGCTAGTCTAGTTAAGGCTATCTATTATACGATAGCTCAGAGCAACTTCATTTTCTAATATGGTTTTGTTAACAGAGAGTTTTCCACCCTCATCCAAATCAAACTGCTCACTGGTTCTTAGCAATTGCTAATTAGACATGATTTAATACCTTGGGAACCCTTTGCCTTATCTCTGACATGACCATTTTGCTTTTAATTGGAGAAGGCTTTGTGGACGGACTGCTGCCAGCTCAGCCATAATATTTTGTCCTCTGATTACCAGCCTCGGCACAACCCCCTTTAACAAGCACTCAAAGTTCAGTGGTACTTTTGTTTTCTTGCAGAAGCTTCTGAGAGGTTACTAATAAACTTAGCATGTATGTAAGGCTATATTATGATAGTATCTAACACACAAGGTTATTCAATTCGTTTAATTTATTTAACGTGCTTACAAGTAAAGCCACAAGCTCCACCTTCTACCTACAGATGATTGCCTGGAATGGCCGTCAACAGCCAGGTAGAGCATCTGTCTGCATGGTCCCAAACTTGCCATGGCTTCAGACACAGACAGCCTGCTTCAGCTTTAGCTTTGCTCTGGCTGAGCAACCAGCCTTCAGGTTGTGTGGGTGAGTTTGGCTAGCCTCTTCCCACAGAAAACAAATCATCTGCAAACTGGAACTCAGGCCAGCCTTGCTGAATGGTTAGCAAAATGTTCACTTAGCCCGAAGCTGGGATTTGTGTTGTCTGAGCCAACTTTCAAGAGAGGCAGCAACAGTTCCTAGTGTTGGGTGGATGCCAGGCAGGTTATGGAAGTTATGAGCAAGTGTTGAGGCCTGTTTCAGACCCAGATTTCAGGGACGCAGGCTTAGCAAAGCAAAGCAGGGGAACTTTCTCATGTAGACCCCTGAGAATTGAAACTGCAGTTTTCAATGCTTTTTCCTCCCTTGGGATCTGGCTGTCAGCTGGGGCCCATTTGCACATCACCCCATATTTGCAGATACATCCTAGACTTCTGAGACAGAAGTCATTTCATTTTCGTTCTTAATGGTGGTGCTTTAGAAACCACAAAGTTGCCTGAGAAACTCGTGCTCAAAGGTCTCCTTAGCTGTCTCTCCAAGTTTCCTTCCAAGCTTTATGGCTTCTCCAGACACACTGGGCTGCTTTACAAACGGTTTCCATCAGCAGCCAGCCTCAAAGCTGCCCGAACCACTGTCCAGTCCTCTGCTCAGAAGGATTAAATGGTGCATGAAAGCTCTGGCCTCTGGTGCATTTGCTCTGCAATGCCCTTTTGGGCTCTGTCCTGGCTTCTGCACCCTGTCCTGGGGCATTCTTGAAGTTGATAATTTTCTGCCTGCAGCACAAGAGTCCTTCTGAGCCTGGAATAATAAGGCATTGAGAACTTTAAGACTATGGAAACATGTGGGCTGAGGGAATTTACAGGTTCAGGCCATGCACAGTGAGCCAGAGACTTTATGGCTGAGACTGGCAAGTTGGATGGGAGAAGGGAGTCTTACGGTAAGTCCTTTGTCACTGGCCTGGTCCTCTGCTCAGGGAAAAAAAAAAAAAAAAAAAAAAAACAGATTATTTCCGATATAAAAATAAGATCAACAGTAGAAACTCTTCATGTTGGTTTAATTGTCCGTTTTCCCTTGGTCCTCCTTTTGCAGACTTTGTAAACCAGAGAACTGTGTTGCTTGGCTGGCTGTGAGGGAAAGAGGTTAATACTGAAGACTACACAAGGTTCTGCAATTAGACAATTTCTTTGTAGCATAACGTAGGCGCCAAGATGACCTCAGAGGCCTTTTTTTGCTGTTGCAGAAACATATTGGACAGGTTTTCTCAGCAGCTGTGCATTAGCGTTCCGTATTTAATGGGCTGATTATAAATTACAACAGCTACCCTAAGATCTTCCCATCACCCTGGATTTCTTCACAGCAACTTTCTTTCTTTCCTTCTTTTCCCTTGCCTCCAAGGACTGCTTTGCAAATATGTGCCATTTGGTGGGAAAGCAGATGGGGGGATAATAAAAGTTATGTTTTATGGATTCATGTGAAGATTGCTCTGTACTTTTTCTCCAAAAAAAAAAAAAAAAGCTAAAAAATAATAATAAAAATAACCCTCATATTTCTTTTCAGGAAAAGAAGTTTCAGGATAACAGTGCAAGACTGATAGCCATGGGAAAGATGGAGGTGGGCATACACCACAGGATCCGAAGACAGAGAGATTATTTTTTTAGAGCTCCTTATACAGATGGATTTTTATTATTATGTTTTGCTGCACCTTGGGCTTTTGTTTATATTCTGTTTAATTCATCCCACTTGTACTATCTCCCTCCACATGACAAGCTCAATAAGTGGTGTATTTCTGCTTGCTGGACTGCAAGTTCATGGAATAAAATTGGGGAGGAGGAAATTTGGGAGAATCGCAATCCTCTCACCCACCTGGGAGAGGCACGCATCTGCTTGGCAGAGTGCAGGGACCTCCAGATTAACAAAGGGGCCCAGCTGCTGGGCATCAGTCAATCACTTGCCATCATTTCTTCAGCACATTGAAAAGACCTGTGAAGGAGGTGCTAAATTTTAGATTTGCTTGAG